CTCCAATGTGTCAAGTTGACTGGTACTTCATTGAGTTCCCCAAACTTTCCCTACCAGAGGTAGATAAGAATTTCCTACAAAGTGTGAGGGAGTTGCTAGCAGTGAGAGGCTGTATTTCAATAGCATATAAATGATCAAATCTATAGGTATGGTTAAATTCAGCTTTAGAATATCCAGATTATGGATATTGGAGAAATATAGAGAAAAGCAAGCCCTGAAATAAGGATAACTTCACGCTCAGGCACATCAATTGAAAAATAGATTCTTAGCTATGTAATAGTACACTCATGATGAAGGGAAGCTGACAGTAATAATATTGTACCATCTTTTAGTTATTTTAAAGACAACTTTGAGGAAAAAAAAAATTATTAGAAATCAAAGACATACATGCACATTAAATGTACTTCAAGCACATTTAAATCTTTCCAAATTTTGAATGTCAAAGAACAACCAAAAATGCTTATCTGATTGCTCATCTTTCAGTTCAGTACTCATTAACTAGAAGAAGTGCAGCTGTGACATGAAGATTTCCTGCCATTTAAACTTACTGTGCCTTAGAGAAATGTACCTTCACTTTCTTTTTTTACTGTTTACTTAATAGTTTTGACCTTTTAGCCAATTGTCCTTATCCATCATTACAGTGCATGATCAATCATTTCATGCCTTGTCATCTACAAAATACTAGCAAGAAGGAAAAGTTCTATATGCCTTGAGATTTCATTGCATTATCTTCGTGTCTAGAAGGAAAAAATTACGTTAGTTTACACTGATTTAAATTCATTCATTCTTGAATACAAATGGAAGGAGTTCAGTGGAAGTTTAATTTGTTAATTTTAATTGGTATTTATGGTCAATATTTAAAATTCACCAGACAACGTGCTTGTGATTCACTATCTTCCTTGTGTATTTTTGAGCAATAAACAGAGGTAAAAATAACCCGTGGCAACATGTGCCTGGGCACACATCTATGCACATATGTATGAATGTGCTGTCTAAGGATGGTTCTTCAGTTAAGCCGGGGCTGCAGGTTTCTGAAGATAAAGATCAACTTCATCACAACCACCTTGAACAAAGATAAAATGTTCAGGAACTTAAAATTCACAAAAACAAAGCTTCACTTAACAGGACTTGTCTGTATCAGACAGAACAGTGTAAAGATCGTGAGCTAGGAAGGTCACTGTAATAAAGAGTGACACTCTGCAAACATTTCTGATTAAGACCTGAAAACAGTCTGCGCTTACCAAAATGCCTTTCTCTGTTAAGTATAGCATTGTTTAAACACTCCAATGTTTCTGTTCCCAGGAGTAGTATGTGAATTGCTTCCCAGAGGAACCCTCTGCTGTGTTCCAGTGAATGGTATATAAGAGACTACTGGCTTATCCATACAGTTACTGGAACACAGTACAATATTGCTTGTGATGAGGATTAAGTGATTTTTAGGATCTGAGTGCTTGGAGAAATCATGTTTTTTATTTATCTTGTCTTCCTTTTCCCGATGATAAACCAGAGGTAACAGCACTTCTCAACTTCCCATGAGATATAGATGAAGATCAGGAAACAAAACATGAAGATGTTTGTAGCTACTGCATGGTGACCTGGTAATGGGGGCATCTAAAGTACTTTTATACCACTTCAGCAAAAACATCCATTTGCATCCATGAACTCTAAAGTGTCTATGTTTAAATATATCTTAGATTTTTTTTTATTAGTCTGTGTTCTTTTTTTGTTCCTAGAAGGGGTTGCTTTGTGTTGATGTGTTATGGAGGTAGAGTAGTTAGGCAAACAATTTAGAGGGAATGAGAGAACGTGGGGGAATACATATCAGATGGAGTAAGAGGGAGGGAGACCAAGCATGTAACAAACCTTTAACATGCATTATTTGTACAATTATTTGGCATTCCCTCTTAACTGCAACAAGTCAGTCCCCACAGTGCCCGTTAGCAGCAAGTATGCCATTCATTATCTGAACCTTTGAAGCATTCAAATTTTATTTTGGATAATTGGGGTTGTTCTAACAACAGTTTTTCTGTGATCCTAACGCAGAGCATGAAATTGATAATATAAAGAAAGGTGAAGATACAAACATACTACTAAGTTTTGGGGCTTGTAAGGCAAGTTTTGAACAGGTCTAGTTGTAATTCTTTAAAATATACATGTCCCTTTGATGTTGGATCGAAGTAGGAGCCAGACATAATACTAGCAACTTAGTGGCTTCAGTGGTGAACAGCAACTGAGCGGTACAGAAACAGGGGAGCATGCTTTGAAGTGCTTGATATTACACAGGAAAATATGCACTTCAATAAGAATGTACCATGTGCGAGAGGCTGCTGTTGAGATGAGCTTTAAAGTCAAAAGAAGGGCAGGAGCCAGAAAGTTCATGTTCAGGTTTGTATCTGAACCTTCTTGAAGCTTGTGGGGATATTCATTTCCTCAGTCAGCACAACTGATAGAAAGAAGCAAATTTGAAGAGAAGGTCCAAATCAAAACTTTCAGGGTTGATGGATCTGTGTTTTCAGTTCCAGTTTGGTTTTGATCTCTAATACCTTTGCTCTTCAACAGCTTTTCAACACTGTAGTTCAAAGGGCTCTATAAAAATGGAGGGAAGAACTATGTAGTTAACCTTATTATTGCTGAACACAATCCAAAGCACAAAGCTGTATCTCAGGAAGGTGGCTTGTGAATGGTCCCCCAGCCCTGCAGCGGTACAGATAGGTATACACCCCTATTGCTCTATTCAAAAGGGCAGAGTATTCCTAAAGTCATTCTCTTAATGAGGCAGCTTCTCTTCAGCTGATCATACACTTATTATGATTTGTATTAAATGTTTAATGCTTATTGAATGCAGGAAATAACTAATGCAGTTGGAGTGAATTCAGGATGTCCATTGTCCACTGATCAAAAATTGGCAACTTCTTTTCTTTGCTTAATATTAGAATGTTCATTCTATAGGAAGCATCATTCTTCAAAGTACAATTTAGTTATTTATTATTTCTGAACTCAAGTGCCTGATTCTCTTTACAGTCTTGTAGTTGTGCTGTTATTTGTGGCACTACAGTATTACCAAATAAGAATCAATCTTCAAAAATGGGACAATGAGCCTTTTATACAGTTTTCCCAAGGCTTTGTACAGGGAGATGTCCAGACAGCTTGATATTCTTTTGTCTGGGGTCGGGGGGAGATGTCTCGTACAGTGCCTGTATTATTGAACAAAATTTGTTCTAGACAATGTTCTTCCACTCTTCCGATCCTCCTTCCCCCAATTCCTAAGGAACAATAAGAATTCATAGTGATAGTGACTACAGGTGTAGAGTTGCTAAATAAGTGCACTTTTCCTTACAACTAACACACTTTAACAAAAAAAAAGCAAAGGAAGAAACCACCACCAACAAAAAAAGCTCATTCTGACCTTTAGACCATGTCTGTGCCATGTACTGTTGAGTCCCCAGTGTTGCCCTCCCAGCTGATGAATGTTGTAATGAGCCAGAGGTTTTGCGTCTTTATTTTAATATCCCCTAAATGTTCACAACAAAAAGTAGTGAAGGGTTAGACAAACTTGTGTAAGAAAGAAAGAAAGATTATATGCCAGTGAGTTCCACATCTTTATTTTGTGTAAAGAGAAGGAAAACTTTTGTAAGATAACTTCATCAGTCTCTTTCACCTAAGTTGAAGAACTTTGAACAACAATTGCTTGGCCCCTTTGTCTGTGCCTCTTATGATTTGTCTTATGTTTTACTTCACAAAGAATCAGAAGCCCTGCAATCTTTGTTACCCTTCATAACCTTTCTAGCATCAGTATTATTATTACTAATTCTGCTATATCCTTGTTTAGATTTAAAAATGCAATTCACTTGAACTCTGAATAGCAGAAACTTGAAGCAAACAAAATGGTGCATTAAATTCATTTTAATAGGGAATTAGTGGGAAGTGAGAAGTGAAGTGAGTATGGGAATCCTTTCAGTCATCCTACTGTGTACATTTCATATTCTTTGTAATATTACAATGTTCTCAAACAACGTGGCTCCATGAAATCCTACTGGTCTTGGGTTTTGACTCTGTCTCCCTAGATCCCTAGCCAACATTTCTCCTTAAATCAAAATGCTTTGATTTTAATCATGATTTTCAATGGTTTCTTTGAAAGGGAGCTTAGAAACAACTGCAGTTATCACAGCACCTAACTTCACTTAGATTTACTTTCACTGTAAAGCCATTGGTATAGATGTACTGAACATATGAGTTTTGTGAAAACAGAAGAATCTGCACATGCATACAGCTGAGAGAACTGGATTGGGAAAAATAGTGACAGAAGATCTGAATGGTGCAGCTGAACTACGCCTGCTTGGCACAAGGAAAAGAGATAAAAATAATTCCTTTCCCAAATTAGCTGTAACATCGCTCACTGCTACAAGCAGGAAAACTTTAACTCCTTACTTGGCACATACTGGGCAGTTTGGTTTCCTTGGATTTTTTTTCCCATCTATTGTCTGTTACAAATACCCAACAAGCAATACCCAACTTCACTGTCACAGACAATAGCTGGTCCAGCCACTCTCAGTCCTTATAGACTCCCTGGCCTTTGCTTACTCCTGTTTTCATTAGCACCACCTGTTCATGCTCAGTGAGTCTTAACAGTCACCAAAGAGTTAACTTACATCTTAACACAAATAGGAGGATAAAAATTTCTAATGGGGTGAACGGGAAACAGTAATGATTTTCTCTTTGCAATCAGTTACTGTTTGTGCTTAGGCAGCAAAATTTATGTCTCTTGTTAAGAAGGATTAGTTTCTTTCACTTCTTGTTTGGTTAAATTTTGTTTTCATGCACCAGCAAAATACTGTAATGCTTGGTTTGCAAAACCTTCCAGAGAAAATTATACGTGAATACATCCATTAGAGGCACCTTTTTTAAAAGGAGTAAACAAAGTAAAAACAATAGATCATGAGTTTGAGAGGGCTACTTTTGCAAATAAATTTGAATTTCATTAATCTGAATTATACACACAGATTAAAAGAAGATGGGGGGGGGAAAAACACCAACTATACGAAGACAATGGATAAACTAGCAAGAGAAGAGGAAACTGTCTTAAAGTGACTTTAACACTTAAATTTAACCTACATCAAAGGTATGTGTTAGCTAAACTTTATGTCCCTACCCCAAATGACTGAGTATAAATGTTTTTCAAGTGGATTTTTAATGTTAAGTGACAAGGAAAGGCAGTTGCTTAAAAGTATTTGACATTCATAAGCATCCGAAAGACTTTCTGTCATCTTCTATTTATCCATTCACTAGACTAGAAAAAGCTACAATGCTTTGTTTTTCTCCTTTTTCTCTCAGGGCATCAGTCGATGCATGTGTGCCAAAACCTCACTCTTCTCATCTACGCTTTGTGATGCCCGGATCTTCTGCTGCCTTTTCTCTCTTTACTGTCACCAAACAGCTTTTGTGTGCCCAGGAAAAGAAAGGAGTGCCACATCTGGAATTTTCAGCTTCCAGCCTTACAAGTTTACAGAGAGCATGCTCCTGCTCCTCCTGAAGGCAGTAGAACTGCCCCTTCCAGCAGGAGCAAAACCAGATTGGTTGCCAAGGGAAAGCTGCCACTGGGAGGGAGAGAGAAAAACAAAAAAAAATACTAAATATAAGTGCAGATGTTTTCCTCAAGAGCTTGTTTTTCTGACACAAAACAGGAAACTTTTATTTAAGAATGTATGTATGGATAATGTTCCTCAAAGCATTGGATTTTAACAGTTTTGCGCTTAGTTTGTATATTTTGACATGTAACAATCAAAGCAGAGATGGGAATGTGTGGGTTTTCAGTTTCATGTCGTTGTTTGGTGGTGGTTTTCTTGCTTATTTGATTTTTTTTTTCTTTCATTGCTTTTGTTTTTGGGTGCTTTTTTTTTTTTTTAATTATGAAACATTCTTCTTAGATGTCCAAACTAACTGTATGTTACATTTACATTTTTAATCATGCTCAAGACTATTAATGTAATGAAAATAGTAGTTCATCAGAATAATTTAAGGCTGTCCCATGCTTAAATATACTTTACGTGTGGGTTCTGGAGGGCAGAAGGAATTGAAGGCAACCTACAGGGAAAACAGCAGAAATATTTCCAAAGGGTTCTAGGTAATGTAACTGGCATATAAAATACATAAGCACTTTGCATTTGTTACCTGTGACCAAATAAAAAGACTTCTCATTGTCAGTGCTTCTTTGATCCTTTTAAGTTGGTCTTCTGGTTAACTCAAGCTTATGAGTCTGTCTGTCTGTCTGGTAGCTACTGAATGTATATTATCTAACTTTAATCATCTTGCAGAGAATGCTTAGTTTGCATTTGTCTCAGAAAAGTAGACAGTCCAACAAATGTTGCTCTAACAGCAAGAGGGGGGAGGAAGTTCAGATTAGCAACTGGAGAATTAGTATTTGAAAGAGTTGGGGTAATTAGCCAATGCATGCATGTGCACACCTCAAAGGATCATAGAATGGCTTGGTTTGGAGGGGACATCAAGGTCATCAAGTTCCAACCGCCTAGCCACAGGCACGGCTGCCAATCACTTGATCAAGTACTAGATCAGATTGCCCAGGACTTCATCCAATCTGGCCTTAAACACCTCCAGGAATGGGACACCCGCAATCTCTCTAGGTAGTCTGTTCCAGCACGTCACCACTCTTAGTGGAAAAACTTCCCCCTGATATCTAAACTAAATCTCCCTCCCTTTAGTTTAAAGCCATTCCCCTTTGTCCTATCACTGTCTATCCATTTAAAAAGATTAGTTCCCTCATGTTTATAAACTTCCTCTAACTATTGAAAGGCTACAATGAGATCTCCCTGCAGCCTTCTCTTTTTCAAGCTGAACAAGCCAAGTTTCTTCAGCCTTTCTAGTCTTCCTAGCAAAGGTACTCCAGCCCTTGGACCATCCCTGTGGTCCCTTTGTACCTTACTGTATGAAAGGACCCAAGCACAGTTCATGAAAATCTACCAAACAGTCTTTCCTGTGCTGTCCAAGGTATGTGATTCTTTTTTTTATTTCTTAGGATGTTATTTTAGTTTGAATAGTCATATTTTTCAGCAGTTTATATTTGCAGCTAGGGAAAGAGAGACCAGAGGAGATGAATTCTTCTCCCTCTTCTGTCAGAAGAGAAAACTAGAGTGCTACAGGATTCCACAGTGTCTGGTTCTTTCCATAGTGTTGCTGCTTCTTTCCTTGCTCTCTTCTTCTATGTGCTTTCATAACTTCCTTTAGAAGTGGAAGAATGTGCAACCTGAACTATTCAACTGCAAGACTGCACACACAAGCAAATACAAGTGATGCTGGTGAAGGATGCAGGGGATATGGACAGTCATCTTCACGTTCCCAGTCATGCTAACAGTTGCAGGAATGGATATGCAGTAAGGTGTGCCAATGCCTGTCTCCTGAAGCAGATCTGTCTGTGGTTGCTAGTGGTTCAAGAGAAAGAACAGAAGGCAAGCCAATAGACTCTCTTCCAGTTGTTGCTATAGAAGTAGGAAAAAATCCTAAGCATAATGTGTTTTCCTTCCGGGATGTCTCTTGTCAGTGTGACAGCGATGGTGTTAATAACACAAACAACATTCTAACAGCCAGTCATGCTTTTCACACATTCTTCTTTGTAGCTCATACAGTGTGTGTAAGTACACAAAAGGTGTGCAGCAACAAGCAGCAGGTTAGTTTGGACCCATGTAAATAATTTGTGCAAGCAGTTTGCTTGTGTAGCAAGCACTATGTAAGCTTGTGGTTGCGTTCTGCCTTATATTCTTAGTTTTGGCTTCAGTCTAAGCATAGTGCACTGGACCTGGGAAAAACATGAGTCTAACAATAGAAGTGCTGCTGGCGACTCTGCTGTAGTTGCATACGATGCTGTTTTAATACTTAGCTGATATTCAGGAGCTTTCAGTCTTGGGTTGAAGAGATCTGATTGAAAATCAGATACAGACATATATGGAGAATTCCAAGATCCTCAGTTGCCGTGAAGTTAAGTGGAGTGGGCACTTGATTATTATGAAGGCTAGAATTGGATTGAAGAATCATACTTAGAGGTGTAATAGAGCTCAGAAAGTGCCAGACCTTGGAAGTACCTAGCCCTTGATTGTAGCAGCTGGAAGTGATTTAACAAGTACTTGAGGTGACAGAATCAAATGCTTTATGTGATGAATGGGCTGTTTCAATATAGCAAATGATTTTGCTCTTTAAAAATCAGAATTAAACAGTTTGTTTTTTGTGAGGAGTGAGATCATGGTGAATTATATGCATGCACGTGCCCAGAGACATAGTATTTCATGTTAAGCTTGTCTTTATAATAATATGTTCACTTATTTTTGAATTTATTGCTGTGCACTGGTCCTTCTCCTTAGGGTAAAAAATACAGTCTGAGTGTGTGTTTTATGCATGATGGTGTCCTAAGAGGCTGAAATTGAATGACCTAAGTAGATCCAGCTCCTTTACTTAATGATTTACTAAGCTAATACATTTTTCATTTAATAATATGTCAATTTCAAGAGACAAATAACTTCAAATATCTACCGCATAATACTTGGCTATTTGGTGTCCAGGTGGCTCTGTACAAAAGTGGATGCAGACTCAAGAGGGATTCATGGGATTTTTTTCATTTAGCTAATGCCCCCTAGTCTAGTCACTGACAGTGCTTGTCACATGGCTTACTTCATGCTGTCGCATCTATTACTCCAACTGAAATATAAAAACAAATCTTGAAAGAAATTTTACCCCACCTGACACTGCCATTACACAGCAGAAAGACTCATTTCTTCGTTTGCTGTGGCCAAGACTGTAGTCATTTCTTACTATAGAAGAAAATTTCCCACCTGAACCTTCCTTAAAAATGAAGTCAAACTTGATTCTACAGCTATGTAGTGAGCAGTACGGTTAGTTGTGTAATGTTACAGTGTTAAGCTTTCCTGTATTTTTGTATAGGAAAGGAAAAACATGAAATCAATCTTTAGTCTTGGACTTCGTGCTGACCAGAATGATTTAGACTTTAAGAGTGTTGAAGCACCTCTGCTATGAAGAAAGACTCTGGGAACTGAGTTTGTTCACTCTGGAGAAGAAAATGCTTCGCTGAGACACAGTGAGACCTCACTGCAGCCTTCCAGTACTTGAAAGAAGCTTACAAACAGGAGGGATGCTAACTTTTTACATTGCCTGGTAGTGATAAGACAAGGGAGAATGATTTTAAACTAAAAGAGAGGAGATTTAGATCAGATATTAAGAGGAAATTCTTTACGCAGTGGGTCGTGAGGTGCTGGAATGGGTTTCCTATGAAAGCTATGGATGCCCCATCCCTGTAGGCACTCAAGGCCAGGTTGAATGGGACCCAGGAAGCCTGATCTAGTAGGTGACAATGCTACCCACGGCAGAGGGTTGGAACTAGATGGGCTTTAAGGTCTCTTCCAGCTCAAGCCATTCTGAGATTTTACGATGCTTTGTCTGTTATTGTTCCGCTGTTGCTGAACTGAAGCTTTTAATGCACTGAGTAATGAACACAACCAGTCCCAAAAGACAAACAGAAGAGAGACTGCATTTGCAGGATCATTGCTTTAACACAGCAACTAAGGGAGCACCTTTGGATGTCAAGGATGATGTTGCATTGAAGATGAGCTGCATGTACACAATTTATTCCCTTCCCATTTCTGATCTCTCGTGAACTCAAAGAAGATTGTAGAAGGCTAGAGTTTCTTGTAAGGCATATGACTAGTTGCTGTAGAAATAACCAGTTGGCAGTGAATGATCTTCATTTCTCCCTTTGCTCTGTCTATTCAGAAATTAGATATATGCTTACCTTTGACCTGGCATCCTGTATTTGGATGTACCCTGGTCTGGATTCACGAATGTCTGTGGTGTTTCCTGCTTCTGTCTTTTGGTCTTTGTGTTGCCTTCTGACCTAAGTACTGCAGATGTCTGCAGATTTGAGGTTTTGATGCAGAGCTGGTACTGAAACATCTCTGATTTGACTGTTTCTCACATCAAGTACACTCACATCAAGTATGAAGAGGAACAATCTTTTCCTTTAAATCATGCATTACCTCTTGACCTCTGAAAGAGATACCTCATGCATAGAGGGGGTCAATTATTGACTGTTTGATAGGGTAAGGTCTGTGGCCTTGTACTGGAGCACCCATTCACACAACCTCTTCCCTTTTCCCTAGAGTAAGCTAACTCCACTACTTCTCTTTCATTATTTGTTTGTGCATCCCAAACATGCCTGTATTTACAATCAGAAAGCCAATGAATTTCAGGTAACAGTAGCTTTAAATACTGAAGAGCAGAGCATCTCCTAAGAAATAAGATGTTATAGAATGCTTAAGGCTGTAAGGAATTTTAGCAAATTAGCAACATCCCTCATCAGGGCTGGGCAAAATTCAGCATTATGGCAAAAATTCAGGTATACAAAAAGTCTGGGCCATTCTGATGCTAGGAGGCTGTTGGTTTAAGTTAATGAATGCTGTTAGTGGTGGTATATTTCGGCATTTAGGTGCTATCTTTTGGCATCTAAAAAACGTATGTTGTTACCTTTTTTCCAGAACTGAAAAACAGGTTTGAAATGGATATTTTTTTCTTCATGGATATTTACATAATTATACAGAGTATGAGTGTTAATGAAGAGCTAGTAATAAAACTGGATGAATTAGCATGACTGAGTGACTTAACGCAATCCTGTTGATCATGGAGTTAGGGATGGCTTACATTTTGCCAGACCTTTTTAATTTTTTTAAAGTAATCTCTTGCATTTGCACATTTGAATTTGAACTTTCATTAATTATAGCTTTATTTATTTCATGAACATGAAACTTCATTGCTTCATTGACTTAAGTGTTTACATCAGTAGAACACCTATTCTAATATATGTG